TATTTTGAGTAGAATTCATTGCCACTTGAAAAGATATGCGGAGAATTTGATGTTCTGGCTTGGGTCCCCTGGCCCTTTTTGATTTGATATTCCGAACGTGGACTGACAGATTGGAAGAACGAAGGTGGGGTGTGTGGGGGAGGGCAGATAAATGGGAAAGGGGTGGAGAGAGATCAACTGAAGAGTTCTTTGGAGCAAGACAATGAGGAAGACTCTGTCTTTCGAAAACACCTGGGCTTAGCAATAAGTTGGTGGGGCATAGTCTACCTCCATGGCACATTATTTCACAATCTCCATCGTTTCTCAGTACTTTTAGTCGCTTTTGTTGCTCAGGTTATTATTTCTTACTTTTCAGGTTACTGTTCATGCAAAACCTGGATCATATTTGCTGCAATTCCCGGAGCTATCATTCTAATGGAAAATGCAATTTTGGCAACAAAAGCACTGCGACGCAGGTTCCACAAACCATAACTGAATATTATTTGCCCATTTTTATAAATGTTCAATGTCGAGACAAAGACTCTATTTATTACTTACGAACAATATGTTATTTGCAATTAACCGAACTTATTGAAATATACTCTGTCAAACAGTACATTTGCAATTTGATTTATCTGCTTTGTACAGGGCAAAATGTCGTGGAATGGAAGTGTGAATTGAATGTAGACTTCTCTCGGGATCATCACTGAAATTGAAATGATCGAAATTTAAATTTGGGCTCGTCACACTCTAAGGCTAGTCCCTGGCATTGAATGAAGACTCATCGCTGTTCATGCATCACATGTGATTGAAACCATTAGGGGAATCACTTGGAAGTATCAGATGTTTGCAGTCTCAATTCGAATTTTAAGTATTCAAGCAATCCCAATTATTCCACCTACGCACATAATTCTTAACTATAATGTGACGCAAACCGTACACTATTTGACTGAGTAAAGAATTGTCTTCCTCGGCAGGTTCGATTCACACGCTTGGAAAGGTAAGCATTATGTCTGCGAAATCGGTAAGTTGTCGAGTGACCCATTATTGGACACGTAGCCACAACATCAAATTTGAGTGTAAGCACACACGCACACACATGCACATGGTGAGGCTTGAACTCCACTGAGCGGCACTTGAAGGGGGACTGACATTTGCAGTCTCCTCTCTTCACCAACTCCAGTGTTGTGGAGCAATTTCTATAACACTCTTTCCTCATTTGCCCAACTTACAATCAAAAAATGTCATCGAATTAGAGAAATTCGTCTTCTCATCAAGTAATCGACTTCTCCACAGACCACAAGTGGCCTTACGTTGGCCAGTGTTTAGACATTCATCAGACAAATTTGATGAACAATTCAAGACAATGAGTTAAGATCATTCACCTAACATGAGTGAACAAAGACATTTGCTATATCACAGTAATGAAGTCAATGCAATGGCACTTGAGGTCTTTGCACTGATTTTCATATAAGCAATCTTGAAAAACCCATGCCACTTGTGGCAATTATGAGTGGAGTGAGTTGTAGATTTATGGAGAAACCTCTAGGAAAGCAGGTTTTACTGGCACAATCACTATAGCACAAGTGAGGTTTCATAAAGCCATGCAGTGACTATTGATTAGTGGTTGGCGGAGAGGTCTCTGTGCTCACGGTGGCACATGCTCACTCCACGTCAAGTAGCACGCACCCAACTTTGTCCTCGTCTGACTGCACATCTTACACCATTCTTCGGGCATTGCGACCTTGTGCACTTTCATTGAGCAGCAGTATGAAGAAGTCGCATGAAAATGAGGTGTGCACGTGCTATTGTGGCCTCATGCCTCACCCAGACGCCCACTTGTGCAGAGTCATTTTGGCAGTTACTTTGGTAGCTCTATCGCTATTACTGAAAGTAGTAGTAGGTGCCAAAAGTAGAAAGAGTAGAGCGGTTTTAGACATCTCTGTATCATCATTAAGTTTAAAATGGTCTAAATTTGAATTATTTCCATTCTTCACATAGAATGGATACACTTCTCACTGATTATTTGGAACTAGTCATTGCCATTTTGACATTGGCTATTTAAGAAAACATGCTCAATTCATTATCTTTCCATCCCATTTGAACAAGCACCTTTATACCTAATCTGCCATGACACACTCTAAACTGGGTTTCACACCTCCCACACACTTTATTATGTCTAAATTGTTTGAGTTAGGGTATGAGGCAATAATGTGAAGAAATGATACGCCACTTTCCTATGATGCTTCACTTCGTGACATGGGAAGTAAATTGAGATGCTATGGAACTTTAGAGATTATTAGTGTGTAAATGAGCCAAGAAATGAGTGTCTCGTGCAGGTACCTGTGACAGCAGTTATGGTGACACCCACTACTCTCTCTCCCCCGACATGCCCATCATTGCATCCAACTAGCCTTCAGGCTCACCTTCATCGACAAAGCCGTGTTTCAAACCCTTCGTGTCTACTTGTCATCGCTCTTCATACCACCTGCCACCTCCTCCTCCTCATCATGAAGCAGAGGCTCTACGCATGTGACAAGTGTTGGTGCCTTCACTCTTATTCCACAATTCAAACTCCCAATTGATCAGTAGTATTAGTGAACGAATACTCTTCCATGCTCTCTAATATTATTATTTTATAGAGTACTTAGGGTGTATGACAATACCGCTGAGAGTCAGGACTAGGCCAATTCCTCACTTCTATTCACCTTAGAAATGATAATATTCTTAGCAATGCGCATTCATTGAATGCCTACCCCTCAGATCAGCACTCAAATGCTGCAAGTGGCATGGCAGATATCCCAGATCCAATGTAATTAAGTACCTTCATTCACTTTATTGATTTAATATATATATATAACGAATTGTTACTCAACCTAGTGATGCATGTCTATACCCCAGGAAACGTTGTACTTTATGAGGAAGAAGAAGAGAGCTACTTGATGAGAAAGTTGATTTCATCAAACGGATGGCAGTCATTGATTATTAATTGGGGAGAAGGTTAGAAAAGTGTTGTGCCCCTCTTATTGCGTTTATGTGAGCATTAGAAAAGTGATAGGGGGCTTTTGCGGTACTCTGAGCGGTACTGAGCGTGTTGATCAATCTCCAAACACTGGTTTAGATGTGTTGTGGGAA